AATATGCTATCTAGGTTGGTCATAACTTTCCTTCCAAGGAATAGACATCTTTTAATTTCATGTTTGCAGTCACCATCTGCAGTGAGTTTGGAGCCCCCAAAAATTGGGCTTTTAATTTCATGTTTGGAGCCCAAAAAATTTGGAACCACCCAAAAAAAACCGGTTTCGACTGTCTCCTCATCTATATCTCATGAAGTGATGGGACCAGATGCCCTGACCTCAGTTTTCTGAATATTGAGCTTTAAGGCCACCCTTTCACTCTCCTCTTTCACTTTCATCAAGGGGCTCTTTAGTTCTTCACTTTCTGCCATAAGGGTGGTGTCATCTGCATATCTGAGGTTATTGATATTTCACCTGGCAATCTTGATTCCAGCTTGTGCTTCCTTCAGTCCAGCATTTCTCATGATGTATTTTTCATATAAGTTAAACAAGCAGGATGACAATATACAGCCTTGACGTACTCCTTTTCCTATTTGGAACCAGTCTGTTGTTCGATGACCAGTTTCACACTGCATGTAAGTAATTCAGCCTCCAGGTTTCAATAGCACAAAATACAAAAATTCCAGTGTATTTTTGTATCTTGTCAACATCAAAATTTTCATAAGTTAAATGTAGAAAAAAATGCTATTTCATAGAGTAAACTTTTCATCCTGATTTTCATATGTGAACTATGTGGCCTTCTAGATTTCTATGAATAAGTCATTGCACAGCTGTTTCTATCTGAAAGATATGAAATTTCAGATCTCATTTGGGATGAAATTTCTTATGACATCTAGAGAAGATTCCAGGCTTCAGATATGAAAAAGGAAGCAGATATTTTTACATGTGATATATAGAGAATCATTCATTTCATGTAGAAAATGAGTGGCCAGATTTCATATGTGAAATATATGCAATACCTACATGATGTGTGAAGATTGGCAGTTGTATTATACATGAAATTCAAAGAAAAAGGAATTAAATACTTTCCATAGGGCTATCTGGGCCAGTTTTTGTATACATGATGCATGACAATTTGCATGTAGGAAAATCTCTTTCCACTGGTCAATATGATCATTCTAGAGCATTAAATATTTTTGAGAGAAAATCATCATACAGATTTTCCAGTGTGAAATATCTGAAATGTCATGTAGCAAGCAGAAAAGTATATGTTTAGTTTTCCAATTTTAAAATGCACATCATTCCATATAATACTTAAGGAAATCTATCCTATGATTTCCACATGTGAAACATGCTAATGCTTTTATAGGTGAAGCATTGAAAATTTGGCAGCTAGTCACATCAGTTCATGGGAAATATATGGGGAACTTTGGAAACAAAGGCAGACTTTTTTTTTTTTTTTGAGGGAATCTAAAAATCACTGCAGATGGTGGCTGTAGCCAGGATATTCAAAGATGCTAGCTTCTTGGGAGAAATGTTATGAGCAACCTAGATGGAATGATAAAAAGCAGGGACATTATTTTGCCAAGAAATTTCTGTTTACTGAAATCTATGGTTTCCCCAGTAGTCATGTATGTATGTGAGAGTTGGGCTCAAAGGAAAGCTGACCATGTTAAATTTGATGCTTTTGAACTGTCCTGATGAAGACTCTTGAGAGTCCCTGGGACAACAAGGAGATGCAAGTGGTCCATGCGAAAATAAATCAGTCCTAAAGATCCATTGGAAGGATTCAGGCTGAAGCTGAAACTCCAATATTTTCTCGACCTGATGTTAAGAGCTGATTCCCTGGGAAAGGGACACATTGAAGGCAGGAGGAGAAGGGGATGACAGAGGATGAGGTGGTTGGATGCCATCACCTACTCAGTGTAATGAATGAACTCCAGAAATTGGTGATGGGCAGGGAGGCCTGGCGTGCTGCATGGGTTCACAAAGTGTCAGACAGGACTGAGCCCCCGAACTGAAATGAACTGATAAAGAATTTAATATTGAATGGAGGACAAACTAATGCCATATTTTCAAAACTGATGTACAGGGGATTCATATATCATGTCAGAAAGTGTGCACACAGAAAGTCATAAATGCAATACAAAGAATTAAATATCTCATTCTCGTGTATGTTGAATTCTATACTGCATGAAGGAAAATATGTACCTAAATTTTCAAATGACAGATATAGGTTTTCCTGTCTCATTATATATTTAAGGTAGAAATTGCAGAACACATATTTTCAAATATGTCTATAAAGCATTGTCTACTTCAGAAATTAAACATGGGCTCATGTTTTAATAAGGGAAATAGAGAGAATTCTACGTTTCAGGTAGGAAAATCTACACCCAGCTCTTCACATGTGACACTTATCACCCAGCCTGTCAGATGGAGAAAAAAATCATTGTCTAGATTGATTACATGGAACATAAGGATTCTGTATTTCGCATATCATGATTTGAGGTAAGATTTCCATATGTGAAACATAGACAATTCCATATTTCATGAACAAAGGTTGTACTCAAATGTACATATCTGAAATGTGTACACTTCATGTGCCCTATTATACATTCTGTAGCCTGGTATCCATATGAGAAATGAACAAAAGGCTCAATTTTTCTGATCACAAATTACTCATCAGGTTAATGAAAGAGAATATGTGCAATATAGAGAATCCCACACTGCCTGTAGGAAACTCTGCTTGCAGGTTTACGAATGTGTGATACAGAGGAGTCCATATTTTAGTTAGAAGCATCCACACCTAGATGAAGAAATTGGCATATTATACATAGTGTACTTCTAAATAGTGACATTTGGATGGTCATGGTGCTTAATCTACCTCAAGCTTCATTAGTAAGAGCTTGTTTTCTACTATTCTACACACATGCTCTCTCATCCAGGTCCCCTCATGCCATGGACTCTGTGTTTCATGGAAGCTCGGATTCTCCACAAGGGAAACAAATGACCCAGGTTCCTGGGAACATGCCTTTCAGAGCCCAGCCCCCAGTATCCTCATTTGGCCTCCTCCCACTTACCTCTTGTCATGGAGGCTTCTCTCTCAACTAGTACTAAGAGGCTTGGGACCCAGAATCTGAATGATTATCTGCCACAGAAACGAGCAAGGTTAGCACAGGCTGGTCGAACGCTGAGCCCTCCAGGAACTCAGGAGTCAATCACCAATTCTGTGCAGCCACAGAGGGAACCAATGCCTGCAATCCTGTGAGATCCTGCAGAGTTTTGATCAGAGAATAATTTGAATACTCTCACGCTGTGGCTACGATTGTGGTGCCTATGAGGCTGTGTGCCTTATGTTCAAATTCCTGGTACCACTGTGTTGGAGTGTGGTGAGTTGCTGTTTGAGGACTTACGGGGCAAGAGAGTATGGGAGAAGGACCTAAATCACATGCCAAGGCCAAGCTATCCCTTTGAGTTCCCACTCCCTAAATCCAGTGAACTGCCTCATACCAGTGATGCTGGCTACTGATTCCCAATCAATTCTTTCTGTAATCACAGATTCTTACAAAAGAACAATGTGCTCTTGCAGGTATCAGTGGGTTTCCTAAGTTCCTCTAGTTGCCAGGAAAAGTCAGGCTAGGCGGGGTATAAAATCTCATGACAGACAAGCTGCCCTTCCCTCTTTACAGGGACAAATTACCTCCCTTCTTCTTTGCACTCACCTCCCTTTCACATGGCATTGACCCCAATCTGATTTTCAAGTTCATTATGTAATAGTGATGCATGTCTTCTTCATGGCCAGTCATCATGGCTGTTACCTGGGAGTGGTTCACAAACATTTTTGGTCAAGGAGCCACTAGGTGATAGAGGTGACAAGCCTAGAAGACAAAATCTAGATTAAAGTCATCTTACATTGTCTGAATTCCATTTGAGACTTGTAACAAGTCACTGTGTGCTTACCCAGACTGTATGAAGGCCAGAAAAGCCCAATGTCTGTGCATATCAATGTATTCCCACAAGGAGGAAATGTTCCTATGGGGAAGGCCCTATGCTCAATCTCGGCCTCCTGAAAATTAGCTTATTCCTGGAAAACACAGCCTATTAGCAAGGACTAGCATAAGCACTTAGAAACCCCAGTATCCTCAATCCCAAACTCATTCAGCATTTTTGACAGGACCTGTATAACAGACAACCCATTTTTATGAAGAGTCTGTCCCTGGTGCTAATGACAGTTCTGAATATGACCACTGCAAGGAAAGACCAAGTATCAATTCGTGCTCCTCAAAACAAATAGGACATCACCCATAAAATCAAGGATAGATTTGCAGGACTGTAGCCAATATTCGTAATCCAGTAAATATATTTTGTACCCAAATTGCCAGACGTGCAACCTCTTTCTGTCATAGCTCAGAAAGAAAAAAAAAAACAGATTCGACAAATGCCCTATGAGGCCCACAATTTTGACACAGAAGTGGATTCCCCAGATGATGGGGCTTTTGTGTTCTGGACAGATCTTCTGCTTCTGACCAATCTTGTGTTTCATCAGAGAGTAGAGCCTTTGGGGTCCACAGGAGCGTTTGAGAGCCCTACACCATTTCAGTATCTCTGGGTGACTCCTCAAACCCTCCACACATGCATTGAAGTATAAAGAGACACAATGACACAGCAGAAATAGTGAGCCTCTTTATTTTTTCCACGTTATCTCTGATATTTGGACCCACTGCCCTGAGTTTTCAATGGACATGTTTTTCTCAATATTTTCCTGGAGAGGAGCACTTTGGAGATAGGGTAACCAGTTTCTCCCAGTCACTGGAAGCTTTGTGCCCCCTCTTCCAGTTTTTCTTGGCTCCCATCCTATTGCCCTCATCTGTGCATCTGCATTGGGCCCAACACACTTATGCACACCTGCAAGCACACACAAAGAGACACATGTACACATACACACACAGAAACAAAATCATACAGAGAAACACAGGCAACAGAAGAACATATATGTATACACCCACATTTTCAAGGCCCAGGGACACAAAGGCAAACGGAGAACACAGTTGAATTAGAAGCTTAAGAGACCTGTGTGTGGCAATGTGGGAGAGATGACAGCACTAGGCAATTTCTCTTACCTTGGATGTGTGGGATCTCTTCATGGCCACACCAAGAAAGTGCAGCTGCCATGCCTTATCTCGGACGTGGGGTAACTCCTCTCGGCTGCTGACCCTGAACTTGGATGTGGGGTAGTCGGGGTAGGTGGGGTATAAATCCTCATTACAGGAGAGTTGCCCTTCCCTGTTAAAAGGGACAAATCATGTCCTCTTTCATTCGCACTCACCTCCCTTTCACATGGCATTGTCCCCAGTCTGACCTTCAAGTTCATCATGTAGCAGTGAAGCATGTCTTCTTCGTGGTCACTTATCATGGCTGTCATCTGTGAGTGTATTGAAAACTGCTCTGGGGCAAGGAGCCACTAGCTGATATATGTGACAGGGCTGGAAGACAAAATCTGCCCTAGAGTCATCCAATATCTTCTGAATTCAGTTTGTGAGTTACAATAAGTCACCTTCTGCCTACCCAGACTATATGAAGGCCCAACAAAAGCCAAAGATGTGCATGTCAATATATTTTCACAAGGAGGAGCTGTTCTAACAGGAAAGGCCTAAACATTCATGTAGGCCTCCTGAATTATTAGCTTATTACTGGAAAACCCAGTCTCCTAGCTAGGACTAGCATGAATATTTAGATATCCCAGCATCCTCACCCCCAGTGTCTTTCAGTGTTTTGCACAGGACCTGCATAGCATACAAACCATTTTCCTGAAATTCTGTCTCTGGTGCTAATGACAATTATGATTAGGACCACTGCAAGGAAAGATTGAGTATCATTTTCTGCTCATCAGAACAACAAGGACTTTATCCAGAAGATCAGGAGTAAATTTGCAAGACTGTAGCCAATAACCGTAATCCAGTAAATATATGTTGTACCCAAACTGCCAGACCTATAAACTCTTTCTCTCATAGCCCAAAGAAAGTGGATTCCACAAACATATGAGGCTGACAACTTTGACCCAGAAGTGGTGGGTTCCCCAGATGATGGAGCTTTTGTGTTCTGGACAGATCTGCTACTGACTGATTTTGTGTTTCATCAGGGAGTAGACACCTTGGGGTCCACACGGAGTGCTTTGAGAGCCCCACACCACTTAGTTTTCTCTGAGTGACTCCTCAAACCCTCCACACATGCATCCCAATATAAACACACAGAACAACACAGAAGAAATTATGATTTCTTTATTTTTCTTAACGTAATCCCTGATTTGTGGTCCCACTGTCTTGAGATAGCTTGGCCATCTCTTCCTCAAAATTTCCTAGAAAGGAGCACTTTGGAGATACAACAACCAGTTTGCCCCAGTTGCTGGAAACCTCGTGAAACTAATCTGGTTGCTCCACTGCTCCTGTTATTTTTCCTTCATCTGTGCATCTGCAGTGGGCTCGACACACATAGGATTGCATACACACACACACACACGCAGAGAAACACACAGAAAAACACAGAAACATAGGTGATAGAGAACACCTGAGTATACACACATATTAGTAAGGCACAGTGACGCAAAGGCAAATAGAGAACACAGTTGATTTAGTAGCTTAAGAGGTCCTTGCTTGCAATGTGGAAGATATGATGTCACTAGGTACCTTGTCCTTCCCCTTTGAGAACCGTGCCCATTTCCTCCCCCAACGCATCAGTATTATCCCCAGCCCACCTGAAGGCTTTTCCACCTATGCCTGGATGGTGGTGGTGAGAGGCCATGTGTTGCATGTGGAAATTCACACATGACCGCAAAGTGAGCATAAAAGTGCCATGGGACACCTTAGACAAAGTATTGCAATGGGTAAGCCCTCCCAAAAGGTGGAGTGGGAGTGACTGTCTCAGTTGTTCCCAGTCTCCATCAGCAACAGTAAGCCAAGGGGACAACAGGACCCAGGCAAGGATGATTCTGACAAAGGTACTAATTCACCCTGCCTCCATCAGAATCACCAAGCTCTCGCATGCTGTAACCACAGCTGATCTGAATGAGACTAGGACACATTAAGTCCCCGAGCCTCCAGTCTCATCCTGTCCCCTGCTACCCACATGATCTGAATCCAGGTTCTGCTTCCAGGCTGCATGAGCCTGAGTTTCCCCACTGGGTTAACCAGAGTTTCCTGGCCTCTACATGGATATGACTTCAGGGCTCACCTCTCAATCCCCTCAAAACTTCTGCATCTTGTCCCTTCCCTCTGATGGCACACATAAGCCTCTGCTGGCCAATCAAACAAGGTCAGCATGATGATACCAGGCCCCAGACTCGCCCAAGGGCAGCCAAAATCCCCAAAATCAAGGACAACTGCTCTCACTCCTCTTCTGCCACCACTTCCAACTCCTTAATGATGTCTTCCACCAGCAGCTGGAACACTTGCCTGATCCCCAACACCTCTCCCTCCTCCAGGGTCATGCCTTCCTCCACTGCCTCCCTACTGGAAAGGGCACCCTCTCACCTGCTAGGCCACTTGTTGCCTGCAACATCCCCAGTGACTCCACAGTGCCCTGAATACCCCAGCCCACACCGAGGAAGTTCCCATGTAGTTCCATTATGGTCCTGCCTTCCTCCCATCCTATTCTCCATGTGGCCTTGTCCATGTCACAGACCTCCAAGGGACCAGAACACCAGAGAATGTTAGGTGACTGTGAATATTGTCCCAGTCTCAAAATTGACTGCAAATTTGTCACCGGACCACAGCCTATCAACAGGGAAGCATATGCTTGCGATGGGAGCCCTGTGACTTCACACAAGTGCAGTAGCCTTGCTGTTGGTGATACCATCCATATCCTGACCTTGAAACCTCATCAGGAATCAATCAAGTGGAGCCTAAATGCATTTCCTTACAGGGGCACATCCCTTGGGATACTTGAAACTCTGGCAGAGGTGATCCAGCTGCCAATCTCGGCTTAAGACAGAGGCGGGTGTCTTCACAAAGCGGTTTGCTTGACCAACAGGATGAATGTGTGGGACAAGCAAGTGGAACAACAAAGTCAGTTGAGTGGCAAAGGCAAGGAACTAGAACCTGATACTGCATTCCTTCTAAAGCTTGAAACTGCCTCTGAGTCAGCCGGCGACCACCTGTGCTCATTAGCCCCCACAAGTGAGGTAGGGATCTGGGATACCTCATGGATAGAGATGCTCAGCTCAGATCCTATCTGCGTGCACTGTGAAGGATGGAAGGGCGAGGTGTGTGGCTTTGGTTGTTTTGTGGAGGTTAGGGATTGGGAGGGTGGGGAGAGCAAACAATGTTCTCACCGTCAATCGGGTGCTGCAAAGACCATCTCGAATCTTGTGCCTTAGATTAGAAGAGTATTGGGAACACAGGCATCCTTTGAAGAGGGACACATAACTTTCCTTGGCTTTCTGTCTGGCCCCCCAGTGCCACATAAGCCAAACCAAGCTGGAGCCCCTGGCCCTTGGTCTGTCAGCTCCAGGCTTTCCCAATGCACAGTTTAGGAGAGGGTCCAGGCTGCTTAACTATGTCGCTGTGAATGCATGTCCATTGAGGACAGAATCTCCTGAACCAAGTGTTTCAAGTGTCAAAAGGGTTCATCCTTGCTGTCCATTATTGTGTACTTGCTGGTTGCCTATCATGTGGACACACTTGGTAGCAGTTTTGGCCTATGTGTAATATATGTAGGAAAGTTTCATGGCTCCAATAGCCTAGAGTTAAAACTCCCCTCCAGGTCCTCCCCACCACTCTATGCAAAACAAATAACTTCTCACCCGAACGGGGTTGGGTGGGGGGGAGTCATTAAGGTTGATTATGCCCAGCCCCTACCTGGTCTAGCTTCTGACCACTCTCCAAAATTCCTTACTCCAGCCATTTAAGAGACAACTACTCTGAACAATCTTGGAGACAAACAGGAACCCTTTAGACAGTAACTTTCCAAATACATGCATATTCTTGAGTAACTGCAGCAGCTCTCTAATCTGACTGCTGCCCTTCCTCACCTCATTAAAGGTGATCTGTTCCTGTAAAGTGCTGGTCTCTTTCTTTTTTCAATCGCACCTTCTCTAACTCCCTTACCTAACATTTTTGTTGCCAAAACCTGGGAAGTTGAGATTCCTTCTCATTCTCCACAGCCAGGTCTTCAGACCGTGGAAGGCTTTCTGGCTCACTTTCCCTCCTGTGCTTTCAAGACCCGCCCCCCTCCAGAGGACGCTTTATCCTTCATGAGCGGTACAAATCCTATGTAAGGTTTTGATTGGTTCTCCCCATAACCAGAGGAATATTGACGTCTCTCTCTCTCTCCTTCTTTTGTCTACACTTTCTTGTCCACAAGACCGACCAACTCCAGGACACAGGTCTTTTACCATTCAACTGCTTTACATGCAATACTCCACTAAAGCCAGCCCCTAGATTAAGGTGAGATAGAGATGATGTTCTAGAGGCACCCTACAACTCAGTCCTCTCCAGGTCCCTGGACCCCCGACCTAGGGCTACTCTGTAGGCGATGGTGGGGGATGCTCAACCCCAACACAGAGCTCTCATCTCCTAACTCCTATTGTGACTATGGGTGACGACTCGAGCTCTCAGTAGGAGCCTCTGCTTCCCTTTCAATTATGGAGTCTGGCCAATCTGTCCCAAAGGATTCCCCTCTCGCCTGTGTTCTCAATAATCTCAAACCACTGTTACTCACTGAATTCAAAGCTAAAAGCATCAAACAACACTTTACATATGTCACCACAAAACTACTTACTCAATCGAAACTGCTGGCCTCAGTTGGGAACTTTCAATTTCAGTATTTTATCAGATCTCACAAATTTCTGGAAACAGAGGGCCAGTGGTTGAATGTCCCATATATTCAAGCCTTCTGAGACCTTAAAAGCTGTCTTCTCTACAAAGACTGCTCTATCTATCAAATGCTCCTCTGCACTCTCTCTCTTTCATTACAAAAACCCAAGTCTAAAGCCCCTAAATGTCCCCCTAAAGTCTTAGTCCCCAATTTTGTTCAGACAGATGAGCCTCCTCCCTACTGCCTCCCTACATCCTCCCTACCACTAACTTGTCATTGGCCATCCTTTCCTCTTTCTTGTCCTGTACAGTGGCACTGCACTAAATAATCATCTAGTCACCCCACTCTCTGCACACCTCCTGCTTTTTCCTCTGTTTGTTCCATGTCTCATGTTCTATTGGTTTCAATTCTCTGTCTACAGTGGTCCAGAGACACCCCCCCACACACACACACACAAACATAGGCCACACAAG